TCGCAATATCGGATATCCGATCATTCCGTTTGCCTCACTCGAGTAAGTGCATGATTGGGATCTACTTCATTTCTCATTCAAACCTGACAGATAAGGCATATCGACAAAGTGTGTTGCGGCAGCAGCAAAAGGCTACCAAACTATCCGAGTGGCACGATAACGTTCTGCCGGTAAGATTCAGCTTGCAAAGATTTGAACCAACTTCTTATAACCCGGTCGTAGGATCGTTTGGAAGCACACCAACAACAAACTGAGGATATTAAAAAGGCAATCACCAAGATTTTCACCTGTCAAAGGCAAACTTTCAAAGTATTTTCTGCGTTGACAAGATAATAACGAATGCTTCTTCAATAGCGATCTGCATGTGAAACTTGTCAACGATCTTAGCCTTGCAAGAGAACAAACTCAACAATTCTCGTCCTCGGCGTTCATATCTGAAGCCCACGAATGTCAGCAACTCGAAGCAGGCCACTTGTGGATGCAACCAGTAAAGTACATGGATTTCGAGCTCGGAGAATCAAGTGATACGGTCGTATTTGGTACCGAAAAGGGGACGGAAATCATGACGACTGTGTTGAATACGATATTGGAAGGAAAATTGCCGTTTTCAAACTTACAAGTACGATTCACCTCTTCCCTATCTATCTAAAGAGCCCATGTCTGAGGACTACCCCTTAGATCGATCAAGTTCCAAGAAGAAAGAAGATGATCGAACTTGAGCGGCAGTTCCAAGTGACTGGCCCAGTAAGTGAGACGCTGAGCACACTAGAGGATAGTCAACTAGGCGCGTTATTAGGGGTGAGTAAATGTTGCTTCTGTATGTTATTGGTACGTTAACATCGGTCAAGTTTATTGGTCTCAGTCAACCCCCATTGGTAATCATACAAGATGAAGAAGTGAAACGTTACTCGAAAAGTGAGCCTCTCCTTCAATAATTAGTTCTATAAATTCAGACGAGTCTATGAGACGGACTTCCTAGGGACAAAATACAATCCATTATGGATCGTATACCTATCAACTATAGACGTTTGACGGGTGATTTGATTACAACTTTTCGGGCTAATGGGTATCTACGGGAGTGCTCTGCACTGTTGACCCATCGAACACCCGTACGTTTGATATGTGTTGTTAGCGACCCTTCTTTCTACTAACGCATATTCAATATAGGAAGAGGTAAAATCAATCATGGTCACCATATCTGACAAATGGGACTTTGAAAGTCACAGTCCTCTACCGAAGCGCGTCGTAAGAACGTATATGGGCGGAGAGGGATGGAAAACTTGGGGTAAAGCCCAAGAGCTCGTCGATCCTTCGAGGAAGGATTCATACTGATCGATAATACCCGAATACACATAACGCTGGCAAGTGCCAGCCACACGGGTTTGATCTACAATTGGAGAGCCGGCGACGGTTGTGGGAGGGAATCAGCTGACCAAGGGGAGACGACAATCCCATTCGATATTATATTCGGTTCCTGGAATAATATTTCTAGAAATGCACTTTCTGTTTAAGCCATTATGTCGGCCTTGTTTAGTATGTCAAATTCGTCAGAGGGTTCTAGATTGCTTGATAGGCCGAAGAGGGCCCCTTTATCAGATCGTCAAGGCTCTATCTGTAATTCCCATGTCATGTGTAAATTGTTTAAATGCCCTACTTTGCGCTAATTACCGGTGACGTCCCGGGTGGCAGCCACAACCGTCCGGGTGTTTTGTTGTCGAAAGCCACAAATACAAACAAACCCCAAGAGAGGAGAGCGTTTCCCATACGACAAGAGATTTTCGTAGACGTTCATCAAGCTCCGGGTTTTCTTATAGTCCGATAAAGCAAAACAGGAGGACATAACCATGAGGTTTCGGTATCGTGCGCCACATTACTCGCATTCAATGAGTGACTGATATCCGCACATGACGCTTGGGCTGTGGAGTAGAGATCCAGACGCAATGTAAGAGCATTAGAGATCCGATACGCACAAAATTGAAACATATGGTAGATGTAGTCGAGTATGACTGAAAGTGTATCGTTTCGACATACCCATAGAAATTAAAGTCCTCATAACTGGTTTATCCCATTTAATAACGATTCCTGATATATTGTAAGGAGAAGGGCGCCCTTCTAGGTATCTCATTCGGGATCGTTCTTTTCCAGTCCACGAGCTGTTTTCGGTTGAGACCGTGCCTAGAACAGGGCCCAGGACCCCACAATTCGTACCTTTGTGGCTTTTATGCCATAGAGGCGAATCATTGTGGCTTTAAGGTGACAAATGATTGAGGTTGGCACCGTTATGCGAGGATGGCTGCCTGCACACATGATCTCGCTCAGTTGTTACTTCGCTCTTCGGATGATCCCTTCTACCAGCCTTGAAGGCCTATAAATACTGGGTCATTTCGAACGAAAAGAGATCAAGCAGAGGTCCCCTTCTCTTCCCCCTTCGTCTACATCAGCTAAACCTTCGAACTTTCTCAACCAAACTTACTAGTTTCTCGTAAGTCATTATTTGGATATTTTTGGCCATCATCTCATGAGCCAAATAGATAAGATGTCTACTCAAGACAATTGGCGATGGTGCAACAAGTGCCAAGGTCTCTTCTACCATGGTTCTGGCAACGGTGTTTGTCCTGTTGGCGGAAGCCACAACCCCGACACCAGTGGCGACTACAAGCTCAAGGTCGAGGCGAACCCTGGCTCTAATGAGCAGAACAACTGGCGCTGGTGCAAGAAGTGTCAGTCTCTCGCCTACGATGGCTCTGGCACCCCTGGTCCCTGTCCTTCGGGCGGCACACACGACCATTCCGGCAGTGGTAACTACACACTCTCGACCATTCCCGTTAGTGGACAGCAGTCCGAGTGGCGCTGGTGCAACCGCTGCCAAGGACTCATCTACTCCAAGACTGCATTCTGCGCTTCGGGCAACAACCACGATTCCACCGGAAGCGGGAACTACTCGGTTCGCTTTAACACTGGAGGGGATCAAGACAATTGGCGCTGGTGCAACAAGTGCGAGACTCTCTGCTACGCTGGAGCTGGTACTCTAGGCAAGTGCCCCGTAGGCGGCGACCACAACCACGATGGAAGCGGAAACTACACGTTGAGAATGGCTGATAAAAATGATGGTCAGAAAGGGTGGAAGTGGTGCCGCAAGTGTCAAGCTATGTGTTATGCTCAGTCCCCCGATGGTGACCTTGGGGATTGCTCTTCTGGAGGGAAGCACGATCATACGGGTAGTGGCGAGTATTCCATTCCCACTAGCAAGACGGATGGCGCACAGGAAGGATGGCGCTGGTGCAACAAGTGCCAAGTCCTCTATTACTCTGCTCCCAAGCGCTGCGCAGGAACAGGGGGTGAGCATCGTTTCGGTGGTAGTGGAGATTACTCTTTGTCCTTTGCCTAAAGCATAGTTTTGTTGTTGTAAATGCCTGATGAAATTGATAGCTAAACAATGTGAATTGACTCTTACTAACGCGAAAGATTAAAGGTGTAGCTCTTGAGTCAGTTGCAACTCATCGATATGCTGAATCTATCAAGACAAAATCTTGAGCCTCAATAGATTGCCTTTTATGTTCATTTTAGTACTTTCACGCATCCCGTTGCAGAATGCATGTTCCAGCGCCACACACGGTGAGCAAGGTGTAATTCCCGAAGATGAGGAGTAGCGGAGAAGTAGGTCTGCACAGCTCATTTTCAACACGAATGGGGTAATTACTTCTTCCAAGATACCGTCACGATTCATTTCAAAATACCAGGTCTTACGCTAGTATCATATCTCAATAGTCTTTGGGGCCAGTCTTGACGCCCTTATGAACACGATTAGTCTCCACACGCCATCAGTAAATAGTCTTTATAATGAGATGTTAAAAGGAGCTGTGCCGACTTACTTTTCAGCTACTCCTCATTTTCGGGAATTGCTGCTTGGCCACCGTGAAACCTGTAAACGCCTGCGCTGGATAATGTTAGAGATGCTGGAGAGTGATAAAGGGGCAGATTTAGAGAGCGAAACGCACAGCCCGACGAGTGTTTTGCGAAGCGGAGATTTCGCGGCGGAGTGAAGCGCGACGAAGCACACGGTCAGAGTGTCATCCGTTGCCTAAACACACCCACCAGAGGGGCTTCTGAAAAGACAGAGGGTTGCTTTGTTTTTGCTCTTTTTACACGCATCCTCCCCCATTCCCCCCTATTCGCACTAGCGACTCACAGTGCTCGGTTTGCTCGCCAACAATATTCAGATTAATCAGGAGGGGAAGGAGGTCTGGTTATTCTCGGAACTGGTCGTGTATCCTGCCGCCTCCTCTTGTACCACACGATCGTAGCCTAGTCTACTCGTATCGACTGGAAAGGAGCTAGTTGACGACAAACTCGGTCATTTGATCATAGCGACTCTCGTTATTAAAAGCATACACGGTGGTGACATTGGCATCCCCATCACTACACTCTGCACCACTCACTACTCTCTCATCAACATTTCCTCCACGCCAGCATGTCTCTGGAAGATTACAAGGAGGAAGAGGCAACGTTCGCCTACGACCCTACGAACCCGCATTCACCCTACGCGACAGCCACCAGTCCGTACTACCCGAACCCCCAACAGCACTACCCTCACCAACAGCAGCAGCAGCAAGCCCAATCACCCCACCACGCCCACTTTCAACAATCCT